CTCTTCTTCCTCCTCTCTCTCTCTCTCTCTCGCACACACACAAACACTATCGCACAGAGAACCCACGGTGCGGATGTGAGGCAAAAACAAATAAATCAATAAATTTCACTCTGTTTCCCTTCGCCCAGACGCACCAGTGCGGGTGAAGCGAAGGCGGACGCGTCAAACGCTCTCCCCCCTGCTTTTCCCCAGCGCAAAGAAAGAGGCAGAGACCGTTGCAGAGGCAGCGTGCAGGAGAACCACGACACACACCCACGCAGGGCGGAAAACGATAAACAAAAAAGAAAAACAATGAGAGGCATGCGGCGGAGCAAGACGCCCATCTCAGTACTTGCGGAAACAACAACAGCAAAAAGGAAATGAAACTCTCGCCTTGCAAGTTCGGTGCGCCCCGCCAAACAGAGAAGGCGTGACAAAAGCCGAGGGGGCATATATAAGTATGTATATATATATATACACGTATGTATATTGTACGAGTTCGTGTAGGCAGCGAGAAGGAGGGGAGGAACACAATGCGTTTTACCATTCCAAAAGCCTGCGTCAGATTTGCTGTATCAGCAGCTACCGCTTCTCTCTCTTTCCCACACAGACATATATATATATATGTATATGGAAAGGGAAAGAAGAAGAAAAAAAAAAAGAGAGCCCTCGCACCCGCGCGGAGGCAGCCTCCCAGACCGCACAGACGACGATGTCACTCTGTGCTCAATGAAACCTCCTCGTAGCGGTGCGGACTCTCGAGGTACTCGCGCGACCGCATTTCAATAAGGCGGGAGATGCAGCGTTCCATTTGAAAGGAGGCGTCACTGGTGTCAATGAGCCGCTTTCCGGACTCACGCTCAAACTCCGTGAGGGCGTCCATGTGGGCCCCGCCGCCCGCGAGCTGCCGCTGCGCTGCCTCGTACTCCTCCCTGCTCTCCTGCAGCTGCAGCGGGGGCACCTGGGCGTAGATGACCAGCTTGCAGTGGTACTCGTACAGGGCGTCAATGAAGTGGAGGAAGCGGCTCTTTATGTCGCTGCTCTCGTACGCGAAGCGCGGCACGCCCTCAATAAAGACGGTGTGAAACGTCTTTGCGATGACCTCGTAGTCGGCGCTCGACGTCGCCTCGTTGCAGATGTCGGTGAAGTGAAAGCGACAGACCCCACCGCAGGCGGCGGGTACCCGCACGTCCCGCCCAAACACCCGCAGCACCTGCGCCGTTGCCGGCATCCCCTTGCAGAGCTGCAGGAAGATCTTGTTAAACCGCGCGTCGTTGTCGGGGTTGAGGGGGCAGAGGTACGTCTGTGCGTCGCTCCCGGCGAGGCGGTGGTCCGTCGGGCTGCGCATGTCGTACACCACACACTGCTGCTTCGCCAGCTCAATGAAGGGGAGGAAGCTCTCGCGGTTGAGGCCGCCAAGGTACAACTCGTCGGGCGGGCGATTGGAGGTGAACACGACCACCAGCCCCATCTTGTAGAAGGCGTTGAAGAGGCGCCGCAGGATCATGGCGTGGGCCACGTCGGCGACGGCGACCTCGTCGAAGCAGAGCAGCTCCACGTCGCTCACGAGCCGCTGGGCGACCTCGTCAAAGAGGTCCACGGCGGCTTCCTGCGTGCGCCGCGGCTGCAGTGCGACGCTGCCGGCCTTTGCCACGAACTGCACGTCGTGCGAGGTCCGCTGCACGTCCAGCATAAAGTGGTGAAAGTGCACGCGCCGCTTCATGAGCTCGGCGGGGGCGTGTTGGTAGAGCAAGTCCATCAGCATCGTCTTGCCGCAGCCAACCCCGCCGTACACGTACAACCCCTTCACACGCGAGAGAGGGTGGTAGGCGGCGCTCGCCGCGCTGCCGGTTTCCTGCAGGGCCCGCCGCACCTTGTCCTCCTGCTCGCGGCGAAGAAAGAAGGAGGGCACCAAGCCGAGCCGGTTTGGCGGCCGCAGCTCCACCCGCCGCGGCTGCGCCCGGCCCGGGCTCTGCGTGTACCGCACAAGGTCGTCGTAGAGGCGGTCAAACACGGGCAGGGCGAGCACCTGCTGTGCGTCACGCGCAATGGTCCCGGCGCTCACCAGACGGTCATACGCCAGCGAGGGCCTACAGCTGCAGCGCCGCAACGCCGTTATGCCTCGCAGCATATATATATTTTTTGTTCCCCCCCCTTCTCTACGGCAGCAGCGACACACACACACACACACACACATACAGAGGGAGAGAGAAGAAAAAAAGAGGCAATGCCACGGAGGAAAACCATCTCACCAGTCACACAGCAGCAACCATACACACAAACCCAGCAAGACGTGCGCAGTGGCACAGGCAGGTAGGGAGCAAAAAACAATAAAAAAAATTCGAGGGGGAGGGTGAAGATATAAATCCCTCCCTCCCTAACGAAGCAAAAGATAAATATATAAAAGCATAAACATAAATAAATATATATTCTCGGCGTGGGAGTTTCTGCTGCCACCTGCACACATGCATATATGGGGCTGCACAGTCAGCTGCGCATCCACCCCTCGCCGAGGCGCAGCACAAACTCCTCGAGCACCCGGCAGAGGTCCACGACGGTGCCCGGGTCGATCTCGCTCCCGTCGTCGCCGGCGGTGTGCCACGAAGGCGGAAAGGGCCACGGGATAAGGTGCAGGACCCGCTCCGTCTCCATCCAGTGGATGTGGTCATCCTCCACGGCCGCAGCCGCAGTGAGCCGCGGGCCCCGTGCCCACTTCTCCTCCAGAGGGAAAAAAATATTTCGCGCGGGGCGACCCGCACTCCCCCTCGCACACGGCGCAGGCGGCGGAATCCACAGCTCCGCCAGGTCGCCGCAGCGCAGCAGCGGACCCACCAAACGCGGCAGGCCGTGCAGGGTGAACATGTCGTGCGGACTTCCGTGCCGGCACCAGGACTCTGGCAGCTGCGGCGCACACGTGCCGCGCGTATCGATCGAATGCTGCGAAAGGCACGCAAGCCGGGCGGCGCGGAGCCGGTGGGCCTCCTCAACCTCGGCGAGCAGCGCAAACGCCATCCCGCTCTGGTCGGGAAAGTAATTATGAAACTGCGTGCCGGCGGGCCCCATAAGATCGTAGAGTGCGAAGAGGTCAATGGCGTCGAAGCGCGAGAGGGCGGCGTCACGCGAGGCCGCAGACGGCGTCTCGCGCCACTGCTGCGCCAGGTGTCGGGAGCCGTAGGTGTGGTCGTCGCCCCGCCAGCTCACAAACGCCTCCTCGCCATCGAAGAACATCACCGTCACAGCGGGGAGGTGGTCCACATGGCGCAGCAGCCTTCGCCAGGCATCAGCGGCGCTCGCCACACGCGCCGTGCCGCCAGAAAGGCAGCGCAGGAAGTCGTCGTCGTCGGCGTAGTAGTAGCGAAGAAGAGTGCGGTACGCAGGCGAGAGGACGTGACGCAGCTGCGCACAAGCGTCCATTTTGCCCGCCGCGCGAAGAACGTCGCTGGTGTCGGACAGCACCGTGATCACCCGCATTGTCTCCAGCAGGTAAACCACCGGGAGGGCGGAGTCGCAGGCGCCGAGAAAGTTCATGTCGGCAAAGTACTTGCTGTCCCAGTGGGCCGCCAGGACGACGTGCCGCAGCTTTTCATCGGCCATGTTCCTCCGCCGCGTGCCGCCGCCCCCGTCTTCCTCCGCTGCCGCTGCGGCAAAGGAGCGGCGTGGCCGGCGGCGCGGCGTTGTTCGGTTCCTGGCCTCCTGCGCACGCGCCCGGCGAAAGGCGTGGCCGCCCGCAAAGTTAAATACAATATTAGAGAACCTGCGCGGCCCCAGCGGGGTGGCGCTCGTGAAGTTGTCCCACTCCAGTCGCCACTTCGACGCCGGCGAAGGCGGCGGCGCGGTGGGGTGGAAGAGCGCCTCACGTGGGGACCGCCACTGGCCCGCGGCGACGATGAAGTCCAGCATTTTCCGCCGCCCCGGCGAGGCGGAGCCGGCGACGCGCGTGCCGAAGCTCAGCACCTCCTCCAGCTGCCGCAACATCCGCCCACGGCGCTGCGCGGCGGGGAGGAGAAACGAGAGCGCCGCCAACACATCCGCCCCGTCGTCGGGAAACGCGTCTTGCGGCGCCAGCGGGAGGGGCGGCAGCTGCTGCAGCCGCGCTTGCGGTGGTCGACGCACCGCGCGGCCCCAGTGGGTTTCCACCGTCTCTTCACCACAGGCCACGCCCCGCGGCGGCAGCACGAGGATCGCCACCACCACCACCACCGACACGGAGACTGCAGCGACGAGGACGGCCAGCAGCGCACCTCGAGAGGCCACCCTGCCCGGACCAAAGCTGCCTCCTCCTTTACCGTGGCCGCCCCTGCTGTCTCCGCGGCTGGCCACCCCCAGACCTTTTGCCGGGGGGCGTGTGTGGTGCCGCATTTGCCCCTCCACACCCTTCCCACCTCCAGCAACAAATACACACCACTCTCTCTCTCTCTCTCTCTCTCTCTC